GATGTTCCAAGTGTGATATTAGAGAAATATTACGAAATAGGAGTAAAGAAAATTTGGTATACTGGAGAGGGACTACCATTATTTCTGAAGGTCTCTCCTTAACAATTGCATAAAATATTCGTCAAAAATCCATCTAGTGCTAGCCAGTGCTAATGTCTAGAACAGGTTAGCTAATTTATATTTTTTTCTTACATAGGACATATCTAGATGCGAAAAAAAATCTTCCAAGCTAATGATCACTGCTTCAGATTAGATAGATCAGTAAAGTTCCACCATCCTGCTTGACCAACCGGCTAGTATTCTATCAAAATAATTTCTTGGTGCTTGACGTGAAGCCTATCTTAATAATTGTTCTATCACTCGCTCTATCTCAGCTCGAATATCAATCAGATCCTGGAAATTCTCGACATAGGTATTTGGATTTAGCTGATCTATGTCTTTTTACTAATATTATTATACCCTTCCAGATTAAAATTTTTTAAATTAAGACATGATCTAACAATTTCTTCAATAGTTATATTGGTAATTTTACAAAAACTAAGGTTGAGTTGCTGAAGCTTTGGGCAAGAACGAATAACATTATAAATTGATGTTTCAGTAATATCTATGTGGTAAAAAATATTTAGATATCCTAATTTAAGGCACAACTATGCAATTGCAGTTAGACCTTCATCATTCACTTCTTGAGCATGAAAGCCTCTAAAGCCACCTGACTGATCATCGCACAGATTGAGATACTTCAGATTCGAGTATGAACCCACTATCAGCTCTAATACTCTATTACTAAATCTTATGCTATTTATGAAACTCAAATGGATTATATCTGGACATGAATGTACAATACTTATGATTTTTTTATCTAAAAGTGAATGGTAATATAATATTTCAAGATAAGTTACATTTGAACAATAAACTGGCATTTGCTTCCTACATACTAATTTTATGAATTTTTCAATCGAGAGATCCTTTGCATATTTTATCCTTATGAATTTATTTAATCGAGAGCGATCGTTTGCACAGTAATTATAATCATTTGGAAGAGATTATCCAGGTATAAGTCTTTTCCTTTCAATTTAATACGCTTCTACAGAATATGTGCATCATATTTGTATCACAATAGAGTGAGATAGAGAGATTTATCTATCGCTAAAAAATGTAAAATCTGTTCTAATAGTTTTGGTATAATAAAAATTCTTGATTGTGCCTATACATGAAGTCGAAATGAAATCCAATAAGTCGAAATGAAAAGTCGAAATGGTCGAAATTACGTCATATCACATGATTTTTTTATATATAGAAAAAACAAAAAAAAACAAAAGATGTACGATCTCGGTCAATATCGCACCGATTCGTATATAACAACTACCATTCGATTCCCCGCGACTAGACGAATCCAATGAGCTAACATTCATTGATTTTGGATCAGCCCATCT